ACTGCCATTATTTAGCTTTTTTATTTCCCATGCTCTAGTACTGCCCCTCCACACTAGTATGCCTTTAATTTTTTTTAATTTATATAAAACTAAAAGTATAAGACCCTTTTTTATTATTTTAATAAATTTTTTTACTAGTTTAATTTAAAAGCGCGGGGTATAATATTACTAACACTATTAACTAGTAATTAAAAAAATATTTAAATTTATTTTAGTTATTTAAGGCTGTTCAAGCACGGCTTAGTACTTATTATAAATAAGATTAATAATATAACATATTATATTAAATATCTTTATCTTACTAATAAAATTATAAATTTATACTTTAGCCTTAAATTAGCTATAGCATAAAGTAATTTTTTTATTAATATATTAAACTAATTATCGCATTTAGTTTGCAGCTATTTTAATTTTTTATTTTTTTAAAAACTAAATTAAAAAAAAATTTATACTAACCCTAGTATTTAGTAAAGCTTTAAATTATTTATTTAAATTATTTTTTTAAACTTGCAAATTTGCTAGAATAAAAAATATAGTAAGTTTATTTATACTAGTTAAAATTAATAGCTTAGGGCCTGGTAATTACTATTTAGTTTTTAGTTTTTTATTTACTTTTATTTTAATTAGGTAATTTTTTAATAAAATGCCCTTCCGCGCTATATATATAGTAATAATTTTTTTTTATTTATCCCTTTTTTTAGGCAAGAGTTAATACTTAGCTTGCGCTAGCTTTTACCTACTAGTTTTATTTTTAAAGTTATAATAATTTTTTTAACCTTTTTTTTAAGGGCTATTTTAATAAATTTTAATTTTTTTTATTTACTAAAACACCTTTATTTTAGCTTTAGTTAGTACCCTTTACTAGATTTTTATTTTTTATAATAAAAGGATTTTTATTATTTTTTTTTTAATTATTATTTTTAGGCGCTTTTTGCTTTTTACATGCTAAAATTAACTTATATTAAATTATTTTTATATTAATATTTTTAAAGGTAATTAAAGAATTCTGCAGGCCCGCTATATATTACTAATATAATTTATTTAATATATAAATATAAATAATAACCTTTTTAGTAGTGCCCCGGAGGGGGTTAGAAATTATTTTTTAAAACTTTATTAATTATACCTTTAATAGTTAGCTATTTTATTAATTATTTATAAAATACTTTATTTTTTAACTAGCTTAATTTTTTTTAGGTTAACTTATTAGTATATAAACTTTTTAAATATTACTTATATAAATAGCTTAGTAAGCTTTTTTTTTACTTTACACGCTACTTATATTATATATTTTTTTTAACTTTACTTATTAAGTAAATAACTTTACTTATTTTAATATTATATTATACAAGGGCTTTATTAAACACATTTTTAAAATTATTAAAAAATATTTTTAGTTTTATTAAGTTCTTGTTATTAAAAATCTTAATATTTAAAGGTTTTAATTTTTTTAGCTTAGGCTTATTTTATAATAATTACTATATTAATACCTTAATAACCTTATTTTTAGTAAATATTTAAGGTTACTTATGCGCTTAATTTTAATTAAGTAGTATTTTATTTATAATAATATTATTATTATTTAAGCTTAATAAGTTAAATAGCTTTTTAAAATTTTTAGCAGGCGGAGATAGCCTATTTAGCTACTAATATTTTTTAATTTATTAAGCTATTTACTTACCCTTATTAAGCTTTAATCTTAATAGCATGTCTTACTATAATATTATAATAAATAATTTAGTTATAAATATTTTTAAGGTAATATTTTTAATTAAAATAGCGCTTATTATAATATATTTAAGGTTAATATATTATATAAGATTTTTAAAAAAAAATAAAGTAGTAAAAAATCTTTTTAGGCCTTATTTATTAAAAAAAATAAGTTATTTAGTTTAATATTTAAGTTAGTAACTTTAATAACAAGGGTGTTATTAAATATTAGTAATATAAATTTAGGTAAAAATAATAATTTTAAACTTTTTTATACTTAAGTTTATATTTTAAAAACCTTAATTAAAATAACTTTAGTTTGCCTTTATTTATTTAAAAATCTGGTTTAAATACCATATTAATAATATTTAAAAATTAATAAAAAAAGTAATTTTAACTATAAGGGTGCCCTAGCACCTAAATATTTTTTATTAATAATAATAAAACTTAGTAAAGTATTTTTAATTAATAAAAATAAAGTATTTAAAACCTTAATAAATTTAACTAAAAAAATTACTTAAAAAATTATATATACCATGGCCTTTAACCTTTTTATATAAGTTTTACTTAAAGGCCTAAGGCCTTTAAGTAATTTTTAAGCTATTTTTATTTAAAAAGTAAGTAATATTTAAATATCTTTATATTCGCGCCTTTTATAATTACTTTTTAATTATTAAGGTAATTTAATATAAAACATGCCTTTAATTTATTATTTAAATAATACTTAAAACCTAAGGTTCCCAAGCTAAGGTCCCTAGTTAAAGCTAATATTATATTAAATTTAATATTATATTAAATTTAATACTATATTAAGTCTTATATAATAATTTATAATAATAAGGTTTACTAAGCTAAATAAATGCCTAAAATATCTTATATAAGTAATATTAATACTTCGCGGTGGCATGACCTGGGTGCCTTAGGCATTGCTTGATGGCGTGACCTGGATCAATATTGGCCCTGACAATTAATATTTCATTAATATTTTATTAATATTTTATTAATATTTTATTAATATTTTATTAATATTTTATTGATATTTTATTAATATTTTATAAATATTTTATTGATATTTTGTTAATATTTTATTAATATTTTATTAATATTTTATTAATATTTTATTAATATTTTATTAATATTTTATTAATATTTTATTAATATTTTATTAATATTTT